TATCTCCCCATTCTGATATGATTTTAAGGGCTCTTCCATGATTGCTATTCTGGATATATATGAAGAGGAACTTAGTTCATATGTTTATATGTTTCTAGTGTGTACAGTGACTCAGGTATCATTAAAAAAACAACTTAGCATTGGGACACCAGAAATGGGCTTTACATGTTGCACTCATATGGGGAATCGAATCGTTTGCCTCTATGTTTGATTTCCCAAATAATTCAAAAGTTGTTAGTATTGACTTACAGTAGTCATGCATGTGTGAAGTGCTGCATCTCCATAACGTTCAGGATGGTCAACAGTGAGGCTGGTAAATGTCCTATAATCATGTGTAGGTATGTTTTATTGTAATGTGTTGGGTGATTAAATGCAGTGTCAATGATTCTCTGAACATCAGCATTCAATCAAAAGGTAAACTGTATATTCAATATGTCACCAGATTACCTGTAGATATAACAACTTCAGGTAAATCTACCTGGATAGCCTTGCTCTGTATCGAAAACAGTGTATGTTTATCACCTTTACACAATTACAAAATTAAACATGAACATTTGGTGTGTTATCTCTGTTGAAAGTGCAAATTCTAAGAGATGCCCTGGAAGATATTAAAAGCATTTGAGAATAGGGAATTATTTTGGGCAGATTTTGTCATCAGTCATAATATTATGTCAGTTGTCACAGTACTCAAATATTTTAAGATGAACTGTTTGGTATGCTATATACAGAGGGATAATCTAGTAATCTTCATCTGTCTGTTATATCATGATTTGTCTGGATCAAGTCTCTAAAACAAATAGCTATTCCACCATTAAACTTCCACAAAGATCAGGTATTAACTGCCACCTGTTCATGTTCTAGAACCTTTAGGATTGTTATTTTGTCCACTGTTTCCATTGCAACAAGTTCAACTGTTACTCCATTCCTACTGCTGTCCTTATCCAGGCCATACCTCGGGAATGACTTTGCAGTTTGTTCATGAAACTCGGCACACACACAGATCAGGTTGTCAATAGATGGTTTTGTTATGTCCAGATTTTATTTATGTTTTTCATAGCAACAAGTTGAATCTTTTATTTAGCTCAACAATGGTAGAGAAAGGAATACTTTCCTATAAAAGTTCTGTGGTGGTTCTATCAGAGGCTGTTATTTGCATTTGAAACCTCTGGCTGAATAATCAGAATCTATTAAAATGCAGTGGGTGCTCAGTTGGTATAAATATGAGGTTGAAGGTTGCAGCTCAGGTATCACAAGCACAAGTTCTAACTACTGAAATGGCAACTTGTACAACACACCTTATATCAATCCCGTTTTTGCTGTTCAAAGAGACTTCAGCTGGTAAACAAAATGAGGAATGCTTGGAGCAGTGACTGAGTACTGTACAGACTTTTATGAAATAATATAAAATTATGTTATCAAACACAGAAGTACTCAAACATTATATATAATTTTGTACAGAGCAGCACTGAATCTGTTTTTGTCTGGTGCAATAAGGTTATTTATATTACCTAAGGTTGCGGGGCAGTGGGGTAGCCTAGTGGTTAAAGCTTTCACACGTCATGTCGAAGACCCGGGTTCGATTCCCCACATGGGTACAATGTGTTGAGCCCATTTCTGGTGTCCCCTGCCGTGTATTGCTGGAAAACTGCTAAAGCGGCGTAAAACTAAACTCGCTTACTCATTTACTCACTCACCTAAGGTTGCATTAGTGCAAGTAGGTTTCATTTCCTTAAATGGAGCCTGGATATATGTGATGACAGTCCAGTGCTTGACAGAAAGTATAGAGTTGTTGCCGTCATCTTTATTCTCTATTCTCCAGTGTGGACTCATTAGTTGCCAGTAATGACCTGACATCGCGACTCTGTCACGACGTTGTATATGTTCAAGTGTAATACAATAGTCATAATCTCTACACACGCTACACAGCTGTTGGACAGTGACAATGACTTCTATTGACAACGCTGACAATGGGAGTGACACAACATCCTGGTGATCCCAGACTAATGTTGTTATTGTTGTTGTTGACATATATGTGACTGTGACGTAATTAGCCACATCAATGTGACAGCAAAAGTGGAGTATTTCCTGCATTCCAACAACATTGTTAAACTGTGAATGAGGTAAATATAGACTACAAAAACTTTTACATAATCATAACAAATAGTCCGTTGTGCAATGATATGACTGTTTTATAGACATACATGTATGAATCACTATCTAACATTGATGGTAGAGTGAGCAAGTTAAGTTTCCAGCTATGTAGCGTTGGTCTGTAAATAATTGAGTCTGGACCAGACAATCCAGTGATCAACAGCATGAGCATCGATTTACAAGTAATGGTAGGTGTTCATCACAAGATGAGTATATACTTCCCAACGTGTTGCACCTGTGAAGGTGTTCATGATAAGATGAGCATATACTGCCCAACGTGTTGCACCTGTGAAGGTGTTCATGATAAGATGAGCATATACTGCCCAACGTGTTGCACCTGTGAAGGTGTTCATGATAAGATGAGCATATACTGCCCAACGTGTTGCACCTGTGAAGGTGTTCATGACAAGATGAGCATATACTGCCCAACGTGTTGCACCTGTGAAGGTGTTCATGACAAGATGAGCATATACTGCCCAACGTGTTGCACCTGTGAAGGTGTTCATGACAAGATGAGCATATACTGCCCAACGTGTTGCACCTGTGAAGGTGTTCATGACAAGATGAGCATATACTGCCCAACGTGTTGCACCTGTGAAGGTGTTCATGACAAGATGAGCATATACTGCCCAACGTGTTGCACCTGTGAAGGTGTTCATGACAAGATGAGCATATACTGCCCAACGTGTTGCATCTGTGAAGGTGTTCATGACAAGATGAGCATATACTGCCCAACGCGTGTTGCACCTGTGAAGGTGTTCATGACAAGATGAGCTATATACTGCCCAACGTGTTGCATCTGTGAAGGTGTTCATGACAAGATGAGCATATACTGCCCAACGTGTTGCACCTGTGAAGGTGTTCATGACAAGATGAGCATATACTGCCCAACGTGTTGCACCTGTGAAGGTGTTCATGACAAGATGAGCATATGAGCACCTGTCACAAACACATGCAAGGGCAAGTCAATTGATCACCTGAAAAACATATGACCATGTGATTGATGCATGAATTGTTACAAGTCAGCCATAAAACCTTTTGAAAGTTTCAGTAATGCTCTGAATGTTGTATTCCATAACAAACTAGATTTGTGCATGAGTGACTTTATTTCTGATATAAACCCCAGACTGTCCCATAATGAGTAACACTGACTGATTCATTATCAGGGGCATGCTTCATATATCATTAGCTGGGATTTAGTACATGATATAGTAGTCAGTATAATGTATTTAGAGCATAGAGAGCATTTTCAAAAGATACATTACATAACAATAATTTCTTAACCACAAAGAAATTGATACACACTGCTTATAACAGGAGAGTGGAACTTTGAGTAACTAGGTTAATTAGACTGTAGATGTGAACGGCTTGTTATCTCAGTGGGTTGAGTTACTGAGTGGTACCATATCAAAGTACATGGTCGTAGCAAGCACCAACCAGGAACTAACACTGAGATTCCACAAGTAAGTAGCCATTGTCAGACACTGGTGTACTCGAGAATCACTTTCACTTTTTCACATTTCAGTCAGTGGATATGTGACGAGCATGTCAGAGTTTTGTTGACTTCACTGTTATTTCAAGAAAGAATGAATTAATTACCACCTCTCCTTCAGTTATGTCTGGGGTGGTGGGGTAGCCCAGTGGTTAAGGCATTCTCTCGTCATGCCGAAGACCCAGGTTCAATTCCCCAAATAGGTACAATGTGTGAAGCCCAATTTTGGTGTCCCCATCATGATATTCCTGGAATATAATAGTGCTCAAAGCGTTGTAAAACTAAGCTCACTCACTCACTCAGTTTTCTGTCCAGTCTTGGCCTCTCTCATCTCTACATTCAGACAGGTGCTTGTGTGAAAACCATAATTTAACCCTGGAAATCCAGCCAAGGCTTATTATGGACGATTGACCACAGTTTCTGATAATTAGCATCATTGACCTCTTTGCTATTATCACTTCTGTTGTATTGCATGCTTCCATTGTAATTGTACTGCCAGTGAATTTATGATAGCTACTCATTTGTAGATCATTATATTTCATTAAATGTATAACATTTGTTTGTTATTTTTGGGGTTTCACACTCTATTCTTTAGTGTTTAAGTTTGTAGGTTAACTTATTATTTCAAATCAAGATGTAACAGAAATTAGGTTGAATATTGAACAACCAAGTGTAAGGTTACAGTATATAACAATGGTGTCATTTACAAAAGTTTTCCTATGAAGAAACTTTAGGAAAATACAGAATACATGACCATTTAGAGCTGATTTTATTGATTTGATAGCAACTTTCTCACAACCAGACCTCTCAGCATTTCTGTTGAAATACGCGGAAGTCCTCCCTGTGATCAGTGCCATGTTATCAGTCTGTCATTGTAATCCCATGGCTGCCAGCTTCCTGTTCTTTACATCCAGGTGAAGCAGATGTCTGTATTAGGGCTCCATGACTCTGTGACTGACACTGGCTCCATTCCTCTCCTTTATACCCACCCACAAAATTGCTTCTCACTTATATATCGCCAGAGCATGGCAAGCTATGTGAAAGCTTATATATCATCAGAGTTCTAGCACAAGCTATGTGAAACCCTCTCTTGCTATGACAATCTGTGCAATGTAAAACCCTGTGTAAAAACCTGTATATTGACAACTTTGTGTAAATTATTCATGTTGATGAATATGTCACGACAAGACACTACAGGTCTGTATATTTCTCTTTTCTCTTGTACAGCCACTAGAAAGTGCTTCTTTTGTTTTCTTTTCAGGCAGATTCTGGTATAGTATCTTGATGTGTCATGTGTATCCCACATGACAGTAAACAACCTTCACTCACTGACTCACTCACTCATTCACTGTTTTAGACGGGCCGGCAACATGGACGTCACCTCTGACAGCGTCGAAAGTGGGATGGTGCAGCTACAAGCAGCCAGCTTCCACAACTACGACAGCAGTGGTGAGTTCGTGAACCCCACATTTGTGGTGGAGACCAGCAGTGGTCCACCTCCTCCGTACAATGGCAACACTGTGACGGACCAGACCAATGGCAACGTACAGAGTCTGCCCAATCCAGATACCAAGGTACGGTTGAGGATAGCCTCAGGAGGTTCATCAAACAGCAACATCAACAAGAAAACATCAAGTCAGCGCAGCTCAGTGAGTGGAGGCAACTACGACGACTCCTTCACAGGTAAGAAGAAGCACCTTTCCTTTATCAGACAAATCAGTTTTTGATGAACAGAAAATCCCCCAGTTCGGATCCCATGTGAAAATACCCCCAAACTTAAGTTCAGGTGTATGTGTCGACTAGCTCAGGTGTGTGTCAACTAGCTCAGGTGTGTGTGTCAACTTCCTCAGAGGTGTGTGTCACCTAGCTCAGGTGTGTGTGTTGACTAGCTCTGGTGTGTGTGTGTGTGTGTGTGTGTGTGTGTGTGTGTGTGTGTGTGTGTGTGTGTGGACTAGCTCTGGTGTGTGTGTCGACTAGCTCTGGTGTGTGTGTGTGTGTCGACTAGCTCTGGTGTGTGTCGACTAGCTCTGGTGTATGTGTGTGTCGACTAGGTCTGGTGCATGTGTGTGTCGACTAGCTCTGGTGTATGTGTGTGTCGACTAGCTCTGGTGTGTGTGTGTCGACTAGCTCTGGTGTATGTGTGTTGACTAGCTCAGGTGTGTGTGTGTTGCCTAGCTCTGGTGTGTGTGTGTGTGTGTTGCCTAGCTCTGGTGTGTGTGTTGACTAGCTCAGGTGTGTGTGTTGACTAGCTCTGGTGTGTCAACTAGCTCAGGTGTGTGTGTGTCGACTAGCTCAGGTGTGTGTGTGTCGACTAGCTCAGGGTGAAGTGTCAACTAGCTCAAGTGTGTGTGTCGACTAGCTCAGGTGTGTGTGTCAACTAGCTCAGGTGTGTGTGTGTCGACTAGCTCAGGGTGAAGTGTCAACTAGCTCAAGTGTGTTTGTCGACTAGCTCAGGTGTGTGTGTCAACTAGCTCAGGTGTGTGTGTCGACTAGCTCAGGTGTGTGTGTCAACTAGCTCAAGTGTGTGTGTCGACTAGCTCAGGTGTGTGTGTCAACTAGCTCAAGTGTGTGTGTGTCGACTAGCTCAGGTGTGTGTCAACTAGCTCAAGTGTGTGTCGACTAGCTCAGGGTGAAGTGTCAACTAGCTCAAGTGTGTGTGTCAACTAGCTCAGGTGTGTGTGTCAACTAGCTCAGGTGTGTGTGTCAACTAGCTCAGGGTGAGGTGTCAACTAGCTCAAGTGTGTGTGTCAACTAGCTCAGGTGTGTGTGTCGACTAGCTCAAGTGTGTGTGTCAACTAGCTCAGGGTGAGGTGTCAACTAGCTCAAGTGTGTGTGTCGACTAGCTCAAGTGTGTGTCGACTAGCTCAAGTGTGTGTGTCGACTAGCTCAGGTGTGTGTCGACTAGCTCAGGTGTGTGTTTCCACTAGCTCAGGTGTGTGTCGACTAGCTCAGGTGTGTGTTTCCACTAGCTCAGGTGTGTGTGTCAACTAGCTCAGGTGTGTGTGCGTCGACTAGCTCAAGTGTGTGTGTCGACTAGCTCAGGGTGAGGTGTGAACTAGCTTAAGTGTGTGTGTCGACTAGCTCAAGTGTGTGTGTCGACTAGATCAAGTGTGTGTGTCGACTAGCTCAAGTGTGTGTGTCGACTAGCTCAGGTGTGTGTCGACTAGCTCAAGTGTGTGTGTCGACTAGCTCACGTGTGTGTCAACTAGCTCAGGTGTGTGTGTCGACTAGCTCAGGTGTGTGTGTCGACTAGCTCAGGTGTGTGTGTCAACTAGCTCAGGTGTGTGTGTGTCGACTAGCTCAGGGTGAAGTGTCAACTAGCTCAAGTGTGTGTGTCGACTAGCTCAGGTGTGTGTGTCGACTAGCTCAAGTGTGTGTGTCGACTAGCTCAGGTGTGTGTGTCGACTAGCTCTGGTGTGTGTGTCAACTAGTCCTATTGAGCCTGGCCCACCAACATTTCATGGTGTTGTAAGAGAATAGTTCTCTCTCAGTTCAGTTCTTAGCCTCAGGTCCTAGTAACCTAACTTTCATCCAATACCTGTATTGTTACATCACTTAACCTTCACAAATACAACAGCCATTCAAATGGCTTAAACTTTGTATTGGACGTCAAGTTTTTGGTGTTGTTTTGTACATTTTTTAAATATATTGTGTGTCAACTGAAATAAGAATCAGTGTTAATCAGCAAGCAGACAATGGATGTTTGATAGATGATGATTTTTCTGTGTCACTAATGTGATTGTAAGTATGAAACCCATTTGTCAAGGTTAGCATGATTTGCATTGAGAGTTGCATCCCTTAGAGGTTTCAGGATCCAGTGATATTCCCACATGTTCTGATTATGATCCTTGGGGTAGCAGTTTGTTTTTCAGCACTTCATTCTATGTTCCACTCAATGACAGTAACTGATCTGTATTCTACAATGTTCTACTTCTGTGTTTCCATGACGACAACCCTGAGTTATAGTGTTTAAGTGATATTACAAACATGTGTTACTCATAACACTGTATTGAGCTCAAGTGCTGATATTTGTACAGATGTCGATGCCAGACCTGAGGTACTGACTGTATTTCCAGTCTCTTGACCTTGAGTGTTTGGCAACTGGTCCAGTTGAGACAAATCCTTGTCAACATCAATGTGAAGGACCAATACTTCCTTCGTCAGAGATATCAAGCCGATGAGAGAAAAAATGTAAAATCTCACTGACGTTAATTTGTGTGATGTTTGGAAAGGGAAGCAAGTTGTGAAATATATCCATGTGGAAACTTGTAATTGTCCAGCATTGTACTGTCTGTGTGATGTGTGGTTCCATGTGGTTCTTTGTCCATTGTATTCAGTCGTCCTTAGCCACAGTGTAGTAAACATTAATCAGGGCCAGTATTGGGGACGGTGAGGTGGTCAGACTGGTGAGACAGTTAATCAGGGCCAGTATTGGGGAAGGTGAGGTGGTCAGACTGGTGAGACAGTTAATCAGGGCCAGTATTGGGGAAGGTGAGGTGGTCAGACTGGTGAGACAGTTAATCAGGGCCAGTATTGGGGAAGGTGAGGTGGTCAGACTGGTGAGACAGTTAATCAGGGCCAGTATTGGGGAAGGTGAGGTAGTCAGACTGGTGAGACAGTTAATCAGGGCCAGTATTGAGGAAGGTGAGGTGGTCAGACTGGTGAGACAGTTAATCAGGGCCAGTATTGGGGAAGGTGAGGTGGTCAGACTGGTGAGACAGTTAATCAGGGCCAGTATTGAGGAAGGTGAGGTGGTCAGACTGGTGAGACAGTTAATCAGGGCCAGTATTGAGAAGGTGAGGTGGTCAGGTGAGACTGGTGAGACAGTTAATCAGGGCCAGTATTGGGGAAGGTGAGGTGGTCAGACTGGTGAGACAGTTAATCAGGGCCAGTATTGAGGAAGGTGTGGTGGTCAGACTGGTGAGACAGTTAATCAGGGCCAGTATTGAGGAAGGTGAGGTGGTCAGACTGGTGAGACAGTTAATCAGGGCCAGTATTGGGGAAGGTGAGGTGGTCAGACTGGTGAGACAGTTAATCAGGGCCAGTATTGGGGAAGGTGAGGTAGTCAGACTGGTGAGACAGTTAATCAGGGCCAGTATTGGGGAAGGTGAGGTAGTCAGACTGGTGAGACAGTTAATCAGGGCCAGTATTGGCCAAGGTGAGGTTGGTGAGGAAGGTGAGGTAGTCAGACTGGTGAGACAGTTAATCAGGGCCAGTATTGGGGAGAGGTGAGGTGGTCAGACTGGTGAGACAGTTAACCAGGGGCCAGTATTGGGGAAGGTGAGGTGGTCAGACTGGTGAGACAGTTAACCAGGGACAGTATTGGGAAGGGTGAGGTGGTCAGACTGGTGAGACAGTTAACCAGGGCCAGTATATGGGAAGGTGAGGTGGTCACACTGGTGAGACAGTTAATCAGGGCCAGTATTGGGGAAGGTGAGCCAGGTCAGACTGGTGAGACAGTTAATCAGGGCCAGTATTGGGGAAGGTGAGGAGACAGGTCAGACTTGTGGTGAGACAGTTAATCAGGGCCAGTATTGGGGAAGGTGAGGTGGTCAGACTGGTGAGACAGTTAATCAGGGCCAGTATTGGGGAAGGTGAGGTGGTCACACTGGTGAGACAGTTAACCAGGGCCAGTATTGATGAAGGTGAGGTAGTCAGACTTGTGAGACAGATGAGGTGGTCACACTGGTGAGACAGTTAACCAGGGCCAGTATTGATGAAGGTGAGGTAGTCAGACTTGTGAGACAGTTAATCAGGGCCAGTATTGGGGAAGGTGAGGTGGTCAGACTGGTGAGACAGTAAATCAGGGCCAGTATTGGGGAAGGTGAGGTGGTCAGACTGGTGAGACAGTTAATCAGGGCCAGTATTGGGGAAGGTGAGGTGGTCAGACTGGTGAGACAGTTAATCAGGGCCAGTATTGGGGAAGGTGAGGTGGTCAGACTGGTGAGACAGTTAATCATTGCTCACTCCAATTCTCCACGGTGAATACATATTTCATAGCATGTACCACAATTTATAAATGAATACTATTTTATATGTGTATCAAAACATATATATAAATGTGAAGAAACATCCCCTAAACATATCATGTTTTTAAAACAACTTATTCATATGAATTTGTATGGTTCCAGAAACAGTGTGTTCTATGAACGTTTGGTTATAAAATTCAGTAACCACCAAAAAGGCTTCTGAAAACGTTTCATCCATGTGAATGTTTATGGTTCAGGAAACGTTGTAATAACATTTTCTGTCAAGATATGGTTTTAACTTTTCAGTAAAACACTAACCGTTAACAATAAGGTTACATGTCCATGGAAAATAGACATTGTTACTCTTAACAAGGAACATAAAAAAAAGAATGGCAGACATGTAATCAACACTCTTTATTAATTTCTTTCAGAAAACGCGTACATGTTTCGAGATTATTTCGGAATCTTCTTCTTTGGTTTTGACTTTATCCATTTTTCTGAAATAACGAAAACAAATGTATAGTGAGTGTATGAAGTCAAATCAAGAGACAATAATCAGTTAATGAAGTCTTCCAGCACCTATGTATATGCAAGTGTTTGATGGACACCAGCACACAATGGAAATTAAGGGAAATCCTTGAATGCCTAATTTGGTAATAGTATCAAATCACACTGAATAGCAACCACTACCCCACCACTCCTGTTGGTCGGAGGCTGGGTGCAGGAACAAATCTAATTTTTGCAATAAAAAGCCAAAACATCACCAAAAAGTATATAGACAATGATATTTAACAGATGCACTTACTTTTACTGATTCACAGCTCCTGGATTATTTGATGTGATCCTCAATAAATCCATCACTTCTGTTTGTATCTGCCGGAATTCTTGTGTCTCATTTTCGCTCTTGCTGCAATAAAAATAACAATGTTCCACATTATAACAAGTTACAATTCCCCAAGCATATATAAATCTAGTTAGTCTGATGCTGAAATATATTGTGTAATAATTATCGCCTAAAGTTTTGGGATGTCAACGTGTGTAGATTTAACACCAACGTGAATAAAGTTGGATTGGAAATAACTCTGCCCCTTTACAACAAACATGGATTACTGGACAGCACTTCTATACATTCTAACCTGGATTACAAACTTGAATTGATATATTAAATAGCTATTGTAACTAGCTACATGATTCACGTCTTACACCCGGAACAGTTACTGCTGCAGTATGAGTTTGTTGGAGCATTGTAACCAGATTCGTTCAGTTTTCGATCACTATATTTTTTTTCTCATTGGCAAAATGTTTCGGTGAATTAAGTAAACCATAAGAAATTTATTTGGTCTACATTACCTGAACAAAGACGAAGTAAATTTGATCAATTAATACTGTATCATGAAAAAAACATGGTGATCGAAAACCGAATGAACATTGCCGAGGACCAGTCATCGCTAACACCCCGTTATAGCGCGGGAAACATGTTTATTTCTGGCTCTCGTTGAGAAGAGAAATATATACATCCGAAAAAGATAAATTGATTCGTTTGGGGAAAATTGAAGAATACACAATGTAAACACTTTATTTTGATAATAGACCTAGCCTTTTACTGAAAATAACGTGGGGATGTTAGATAAGCAAAACCACAACAACCATGAGGATGATCAACATTTAGTTTTGTCAGTGTTACGGTAATTTACCAAGTATGCTTCGGTCATTTCTGATTAATCATTTATTTTAAATAACATACTTAGACTATGACAGTAACTAATAGCCCACAGTCAGGTCGACCAGAAAGTATTTGATTCCCCATTTTCGTGTTATAAGTTTGAAGCAACCTTTCCCACCGACTAAAGTGAGCGAACTTTTCATAGCTTAAAAAATTGATAGTAAGTTGTAATGTTAAATTAAAAAATATATATTTCAGAAATAACAGGGAACAAAATTAATGATGATAAGTGTCACTGGCTTGTGAGCTGTGCATTATCAGCTTACTAGATCGAAAACCGAACGTGAGATCTAATAGCGACAAATGTCCGCCTGACATGAACTCTGGTTAAGAACATACTGCTTGCCATTGATAGCTGAATAAAATTTTGTATCCAAAATAAAATTAAAATGGTGCAAACTCCCTTAGGTCTCCTTCACAATAACATACATAATACTCTCTGTTGGAAGCCTAACAACACCGAATCTAACAGATCGTGTACGGCTGCTCAAAACTTCGCGATTTCTGAGTATCACGATTGAGTGAATATCAAAATGTACATAAACATAACAACCGTGTAGTGACTGTAAAGTTAACTTACCGCAACCGAGGTCAGATCGATGATACAGTTCCATTTGTTGCTGCACAATGACATTGTTGTACTGTCCTCAATAAACTTCAACTAAGATGGCGTGGGTGCTGAAAATATGGCGTGAGCGTGTGGCGTCATTCCGGCGTCCTTTCCCGCGGTAACATTTCTTTCTTCATGAACAACTTTTAAAAAAACATTTGAATAATTAATGCTTTTAAATAGTTGAGAGAATTGTTTTAAGATTGTGACTGTGTTTTGTCGAAAATATTTTAGATAAATCAGTTTGAAACCTTATGAACATGTTTGGAAAATGTTATGTGTTAGCTGGGTTACATTGGCCCGCTGTCGGCCCAGCGCTGTTCAACGATGCCGATATTAGCCGATGGTGCCGACTATCAGCCGACGTCGGGCCGACGATGGCATGCTACCTGGGCAGGGCCAGTATTGGGGAAGATGAGGTGGTCAGACTGGTGAGACAGTTAACCAGGGCCACTGTTGGGAAAGGTGAGGTAGTCAGACTGGTGAGACAGTTAATCAGGGCCAGTATTGGGGAAGATGAGGTGGTCAGACTGGTGAGACAGTTAACCAGGGGCAGTATTGGGGAAGATGAGGTGGTCACACTGGTGAGACAGTTAACCAGGGCCAGTATTGGGGAAGATGAGGTGGTCACACTGGTGAGACAGTTAATCAGGGCCAGTATTGAGGAAGGTGAGGTGGTCAGACTGGTGAGACAGTTAACCAGGGCCACTATTGGGAAAGGTAAGGTGGTCAGACTGGTGAGACAGTTAATCAGGGCCAGTATTGAGGAAGGTGAGGTGGTGAGGTAGGTAAATCAGTATTGAGAAAAATAACAAGTCTAGTTCCAATATTACCATATTTGTCTCTTTGCATCATTTTCAGTAGATCTATATTTCATTGTTTAGTTGAGTTTACTTGCCCAGTCTTTGGACCTGTGGCTCATTTAATGGAGGCCAGACCAATCTGCCAAACCCTGGATACCTGGAAGCTTGTGTCCAACACATCAGCACCCACAGCAAGCCTAGTTCTCATTGCTTCCAGCAGATAGAGATCCCAGCATATGTTCACAGACATTACCAATCACTAGTAAACGTTTGCAAGACGTGTACACATTAGTAAAATGAGATGACTACAGTGATGTTTCAGTGTTTGTAATGTTCTGCTCGATGTAGAATGCACTGAGGGAAGTGTGGAAATAATGATGAACGAATCCACTGATCACCAACATATTACAGAGCTGACCTCATCCAGCAATATGTCTGTCAGTTGAAGATACCTTCTTTGTAAATGATTTTTTGTTTGTTTTGAAGCCAATATGTGAATTATGGAAACAATATAACAATATGTTGTGTTATCATATTGTTGACAAATGTGTGATGCTTGAGCACAATGTGCTTATGGCTTAAATAATGTGACCATGTGATGAACAGCATGAGCATCGATCTTACATTCACTGTTAGGTGGTCGGGGCAAGCATGGCCTAATGGTTAAAGTGTCTACTTGGCACGCTGAAGACCTGGGTTCAATTCCCAACATTAGTACAATGTGTGAAGCCCATTTCTGGTTCTCTCTGGCGCTGGTACATGACACTTCTCCATGTGATATTTCTGATGTAACAGGAAAAGCAGTGGGTAATAGAATGACCAAACAATGGTCTGATGGAGCCTGGTGTAACATGGTCAAATAATGGGGCTCCACAATCCCATGGAAAATGTGTCATGTATATTCTTTGTGTGAAGAGGAAGGAGTATTGCTGAGGCAACTGTATTCACTCACCCTTCTTAGATTTGCCATTGATTGATGATTTAAAGTATCTGCCTTTGTGTTCCTGAGCAATGCACTTTGTTACTTCTGCATGAAAATAGATACAGTAGTCAGTTCACTCATTAGTTTCCAATAGTTACAAGTCTAACAGTGACAACTGCGAATGCTGGGCTGGGATGTGCCCAACAGAAATACTTCATCGTTTACAAACACTGATACTATCAGCGTATCCGGTGTTGGCTGTAATGGAGATCCACCTCCTCCCTCCACCTGCCAGTCATCCACCCATACCTTCCTGGCTGCTAATTGCTGCCACTTGTTGATAGGTGTTGACAGGTTGGACCTATTAGGCTGTGTAATGGATTACAGTTTGCAAGACAGTTTTGTTAGAGTTTCTGAGATCCTCACACCTCTGACAGTGTACCTGTACACTGGAATGTAAGCCACTCATCACCATGTACCAGATCACAAGATCACAACACGCGACTGTCCCTGCCTACTGATCCCCAATGTCAGTTCTGTTATCTTGTCATCAGTGCGGGATGTTGCAGTGGCAGGGAACAGATTCCCTGCTGCAATGTTGACAGTACTTACTCATCTCAGTAACATCTACTGATGTTAGGAAGGTGTTATGTTTCCACATCTACTGATGGTAGGAGGGTGTTATGTTTCCACATCTACTGATGGTAGGAAGGTGTTATGTTTCCACATCTACTGATGGTAGGAAGGTGTTATGTTTCCACATCTACTGATGGTAGGAATGTTTCCACATCTACTGATGTTAGGAAGGTGTTATGTTTCCACATCTACTGATGGTAGGAAGGTGTTATGTTTCCACATCTACTGATGGTAGGAAGGTGTTATGTTTCCACATCTACTGATGTTAGGAGGGTGTTATGTTTCCACATCTGATGTTAGGAGGGTGTTATGTTTCCACATCTACTGATGTCAGAAGGGTGTTATGTTTCCACATCTACTGATGTTAGGAGGGTGTCATGATTCCACATCTACTGATGTTAGAAGCGTGTTATATGTTTCCACATCTACTGATGTTAGGAGGGGGGGTATATGTTTCCACATCTACTGATGGTAGGAAGGTGTTATGTTTCCACATCTACTGATGGTAGGAAGGTGTTATGTTTCCACATCTACTGATGTCAGAAGGGTGTTGTTTCCACATCTACTGATGTTAGGAGGGTGTTATGTTTCCACATCTACTGATGTTAGGAGGGTGTTATGTTTCCACATCTACTGATGTCAGAAGGGTGTTATGTTTCCACATCTACTGATGTTAGAAGGGTGTTATGTTTCCACATCTACTGATGTTAGGAAGGTGTCATGATTCCACATCTACTGATGTTAGGAGCGTGTTATATGTTTCCACATCTACTGATGTTAGGAGGGGGGGTATATGTTTCCACATCTACTGATGTTAGGAGGGTTATATTTCTGAATACAACAAAAGAGGCTAGGAGAGTTCTTTAGACCATTACTTGACTATGAATTTCTCCATCAGTAAAGCGTCCGCCCGGAGAGTGGAAGGTCGCGGGTTCGATCCCCGACCGCGTCATACCAAAATACGTTAAAATATGGTACTTGTTTGTCCCTGCCTGGCGCTCGGCATTAAAGGGTACAACAAGGACTGGTCAGCTCGGAGTCAGTATAATGTGTCTGTGTGGGGTATTCATACTTCACTGCGGCATGGTATCTCAGTGAGCTAGAACTATAAAACCAGCTTAAGTCTGGGCTAGTACAAGCATCCGCACATACATATACACGCATGCACATCGTCATATGAGCGAAATATTCTCAAGCACGATGTAAAACCCAATTTCACCTCACCTCCATCAGTAAATGTTAATGCTTTCAATAACATACAGACATATATACACATATATATCTATAAATATATTCTCATTATCTATTATATTAGTGAACCAGAGACCGACATATTTTCTTTGAATGAATTAGTGCAGGGTGGGTGAGATCTGCTTGATCTGCAGTATCAGGTGATGTTGTGGGTACGTACAACAATGTTCTGATAGATGAAGCCAATCACGACATGTGATCTCAGTGTTCGGTGCCAGGTAATTGTATGACGTGTGAGAAGTTGGTTAGCATCCGTGTGCAGCATCTCTGACGTCCCACGCTGCAGGTGTGATGCTGGAATCTCAGTCTGCATCAAGATAACAGTGACAGGGTTTACCTCCACACACAAACACTGTGGCAGATCATTGACAGGCTGCTTGCTGCTTTTGTTTCTAAATAATATGTGTGACGTTATAAACTTTCTTCAGTGGGATGGGCTTTAAAGGGAGACGGTTGTGTGTTATTAACTTGTGTGGAGGAATTCCTCATTACATGCTGGGGTTCGTCAGAAAATGACTTGTGCACGATGGGCTTTGGAAAAGCAGGTGCGTTTCTAAAGCTGCTTAGCAATGATATGCCTGAATTAGAATACTTGTTATAATATTTCGTTTATTATAGGATGAATGTCAGAAAACAATAATTTATTTTTCACAGGTGCTGGTATTTTTAATTTGTTGCTATGCAAACTGTGGAGAGCACGTTTTCTTTATGACACTGCAACCTGTTAGTCATCGCCGGTGAAGAAACGTTTTCAAATTATGAATATTCCATCTTAATTTGTTCCGGAAGATAACAACTAAATGTTTGAATTAGTCTTGCTTCATGTTATTTCTTAGTTATAAGTTAAGTGAAATGTAGTCTTCTGAAACAGAATAGTATCATTTGTATATTAGCCTGACCATGTTCAAGACCTGCCGACTCCTCGGTCAGCCAGGTAAATATAGCTGATGCTGTGCCAGTGTGTTAATCAACATTAACCGTCAGTGACCGTCGACATTACGATAATCATTGTCTGTTTCTGGTTTGAGTATTTATCGTTGATTCAGTGATTATCATGGCGTAGACTCTGACATCCTGTTGTGTTTCAGACGAGTCGGGCCTCAGTCTCATCTACTCCCAACATGAGGTAAGTGCCTCATCTACCATCCTATCAGACGATGAAACTTGTATTTGTTGGGTTTGTGTATTCTATCAACAGGAGCAAAAAGTCAATCAGTAAAGCTTTGAAACAGTTAATATAAGTAGATATTAGTTAATATTTACTTGTGAGACAATATCTTTGAAGGACCATGAAGTATGTAGATACAGCTGCATATTGATTCCAGCAACACTATTGGAAGTGATGGAATACTGTAATGTATTTATCAGTGGATGGTCATTGTGAACACCGGAATGTATTAAACCCTCTAGACTGGCTGACCCTTAGTATTTCATCACTAATAAAATCTTAAAATACTTTTCTAAACAAATTATTCTTTTACAACCCAAAGGAGTAAATTGGTTTTATAAAAATATGTAAACCATAAAATAAAACTGGTGCAATATGAACTTACCACTGTTAATTTCTAAGTTGTTTGGGTTTGTTTTTTAGTTGTCAGCAAGTGGTTCACATTTTCTAATAAAACGTTAATGTACTCTGTCCGGGATGGCAGCTGTGTGATACATTGAAACATAATTGTTTACAGTCCATTCTTATGATTCAGATAAATCACTGGAACTGGAATTTTCTTTCTTGTTAAAAAATACTTATATCAACTGTCTCAACTCCATCTCACCTGAAATCATTGCAAAGTTCCAAACTCAGTCGAACTCTTTCAGGTCAAGTTATGTTCGTAGACATCAGTGAAAACAATGAAAACTACACACATTACAAGCTGTTGACTGTTGATCACCTGTTTTTTGTTCCATAAATGTTCTTATTCATCTAGACATTCTGACGTTGGGTATGAGTTATGGTACAGAACACAAATATTCTGTAACTAAATGTGAATTCCTAATGAAAGCCATAGATCTGGGTTCAATTCCCCACATGGGTACAACACGTGAAGCTCTTATCTTGTGTCCCCTGTTGTTATGTTGCTGGATTATTGCTAAAAACGGTGTAAAACCATACTCACTCTCTCACTGTACAATAAATGTGAATCGTATAGATAACCTTGTATCACACTGTTCCACTCTGTAAATGTGACGTCCTATTGTTGCTATGTCCAGAGGGTGCCGTTCAAGGACTTCACCAATGAGGTGCGGGCCACGATGGACGTGCAGAAGTTCCTCAACAACACAGTCCTGCTGCTGGACGTCCATCAATCCAACCTGGACGAGATCGTGGACAACATCCTGAAGAAGATGCTGGGCACCGACTCCCCAACCAGCTCCGACCAGGCCAAGTCCTCTCTCTTCACGACTGACTGTGGTAAGTGCTGTCCTCTCTCTTCACGAATGTCTGCGTGTACTATAGGCAAGTGATAAACATAAGAATGATTACATACAGTTTAGTTTAGTAGTGAATATAGGAATGTTTACCTGTGGTGTTGTGATACAATTAATATTTTATGAGACAATTTGGACAATTTCTGTTTTAGTATTCTAGACTGCAAATGTGCTGTGATATAATGACAGATATGTATTTACTGATGTTTGTGGGTTGTACAGTGCATCAGCTGAGTCGGACGATCCAGAGCTCGGTGAAGATTGATGATGGAGGAGGTTTTGACTATGATCAGAACTGGGTCTGTGCCATGTAAGTGTTGCCAGAACTAGGGAATCCTTCCACAAAGGGATCCTAGGGCTACAACTGTTGTAAGTCGGTTACAGTTGGGAGTTGTGATTGTCTTAGTGCTCAGATAGCTCTGTGGAATGAGCCCATGTCTCTGCCAGCTGGACCAGATGATTTTATATCTCATCAGATTAAGTTCAAAACTGACTCCAGTTTGAAGCACTCATAATTTCTCTACCATCTTCAGCCAGATAGATGATGAAGTTGATCAAATGTCAGGATATATTTCACTGCCTCTGTGTCTCGCTGTCTGCATCTCACTGTTTGTCTTTCGTTGGCTGTGTGTCACATTGTTTCTCTCTGTCACTGATGTCTATTTCATTGTCTGTTTCACTACCCCTGTCACACTGTGTCTCAGTGTCCGTGCGTCTCTCTTGCTCTTTTGGTAGTATCTTTGGTTGAGTCTCACTGTCTTTCATTTTGTCTGTGTCCACATTTCTTTGTCTGTGGATCGCTTCACTTTTACCTTTCATTGCTTGTGTGTCCCATTTCTTCTAAGTTCTTGACCAACTGTTGTTTGAGTGTATTATGTATTCCAGCTGTTTGCCCACGTCATAAATTGCTAGATGGTGTTACTTGTGTGCAGAATGTGTATAGCTTTAGCATGGAGGAATGTGTAAGAAGTTGCATCTGTTCTTCTGACCACATGTAATCTCACCCATCTTCACTCCAGGTGCAGCATACCCTCCATCAACAAGGGCTACGTGGGCATCGCCCGCCTCGCCACACCCGCCAACTTTGGCATGACGTGCCAGGAGGTGTACTTCGTCATTGTCATCCTCACCCCAACCAAGGAGGTAGGTAGAACCACAGTCACCACGGTCACCAGACCAGCATGACAGTAACAGAGTCTGTTCTTGTAGGGTCCAGTACCAGGAAGGGAACATTGCAGGAATCGACCCACATTGTTGGGTTGTGATTTGTGGTATATGGTTCATTAGGCCAGACCAATGTTATTTCTTGTTTTACAGATTTTTGTCCTCAGAAAACCTAAAGGCAGGAGGAAAAAAATAAAATAAGAATCACCAGTCAAAGTCATATTCCTTTTAAATACTAAAAGTGTTCTACTTTTGGCAATTTATGAAGTGTATATGGGGCAAAAAACAATCAAATCAATTTTTTTTTATAAGTTTTCATTTTTGGACAATAAAAACATTAGGATTTTTTGTTTGAGCGGGGAACATTATTTATTTTTTTCTTATTCTTGAAAAAATACGACCGGAGGATCTGTAAAACAAGAAATAAAATTGATCTGGCCTTACCTAAGTTAATGATGCATGACAAGAAATCCCACTTCACAGGGCATGTTTACCTGTGGCCATCTTGAATAGGTACAAAGGTGAATGTCACTCTGTGGTGAAGCTGATGGTTTTATGACAGTGATAACAATATGATAATTTGAAAGAAAGCTTTCTTTGGATTTACAAGTGGTTTGAAAGTTAAGTAGAATGTATTTAATGGTTAACTGATTTACAACTGTTATGTATACAGACCGTTTGGGAACAGACAAATACATGCTTGTGTAGAGGGAATGTTGATGAAATAAATGTAGAAAAGAAAACGTCTGACATGAAGAACGCCCTCTGGTGGCAGGCCATGGATGAACAAGGTTTCCTCCGGTTATCTCGGTGTTTTCAGACAATGTTGTTGGTTACAGAAAGGCACCAAGAATGAGCTGGAGACAGGGAGGACGTTTGCCACGATGTTCTCCGACATAGATTTCCGCCTGGAGCTGATGGGGGCGCCTGATGAGGAGCACTTCAAGGGCGTCCTGCAGAAGGAGACTCACAAGTTGTCAGAGAAGCAGAAGGAGTCGGAGACAAAGATGGCCGTCTTTGATGGCGAGGAGGAGAAGGTACTGCTTCAGAACAACATTATACTCAATGACTGAAAATATTTGATTACATTCTTTAGTGTGATTCTGTGAAAGACTGAAATTTCCGAGTTTGTCACTACAGTAACAGACATTTTGCTATGTTCAGTGCAGTGAAAATACCACTTTGCCAGAACTTCTTCACAGCGCAACAAAGTTGTTTGTCCAGTATCTCTTTACACAACACAATAAATGGCAATGTAAACAAATGCATTTGGTCAACAAGTATGGGAATTGTGTGAACAACCGAGCTGATTGCTGAGTCATTGAGCACACCCGCACTGAGTGCGCTAGCACCAAGTTTTGGCATTTATTGTAAAACCAAAAGGATCTATTTTTCCTTATCCTGACTCATGATCTTTGCTTATCTCCCTTTCCCTTGCGAAGGGTAGTGGAACACTTGAATCCTTTGTAGTTCCCTGAAGCGGACGTAAAAATACACTCACCCACGAGTTACCTCCCTTTTCCCGCGCAAACAGTCATGTGACCAGCCTTACTTGTCACTCTCTCCCTTTTCGCCCAAGCAGATGGTTGGACGAGCCCCATATACGGCAGATATCCTTTATATTTAGATCCTATTTATCCAAATTATGCTGTGTATGGTATTTGGCTATAACTATCATGTATTAATTGTATAAAATTTGAAGAAATTATTGTAATTTGTGACATTTTTTTCATTGTAATGTAACTTGTTTACATTTCATGAAATCTTGCATTGTTTGCAGGCACCGGCTATCAGTGGCTGATCCTCACCCCAGATGCCCATCGTGCATTAAACCATGTTCTTCCATCTTACGTTGTACATATTGCATTGGTTTATCATATTTGCAATTTAATCAATATTTGTCTTATATCTATAGACATGCCATGGATCGGATGAGGCAGTCATCTCAAGTCACGGCTGATAAACCTGGAGATCAAGCCGGTAACCATAGGTTGTTTGCTACTGCAGAAATACTTAATTCTGGTGCTATGTTGAGTACGTTGCAGGGGCAACGACGGTCTGCTACGACGGAGTTGACGCCCTCTCAGAGTAAGAAAAAGACTACTGCTTCATCCATAATGCAGAAAAGGGCATCTGTAACTAGGTCAGCATCGAATTCAACACGACCTAGCAAGTCAACTCATCAGAGGTCGTGTAATGAAGAGATTATCCTACCGCACGAGGCAGACGTGTTTAATGAACCACCGTTACTTCTGCCTGAAGTACCTACTAGATCGGCAACACAGTCAACCTCGACAACTACTAGATCGTCTCCTGCAACTACAGCAGCGGGCCAGCTGTTTGACGACCAACCACCAACTTCTCAACACAGTGAAGTTGAAGCACACAACACATCAGCGTTCTCGAACGCTTCATCAACACCGAATCAGTTGTAGTCAACGCAGAACTTTGATCCAGGCGACTTCATGAGGCAATTTACTACCCAAATGATGGCCATGATGGAACGACGTTTTGATGAGGAAGCGAAGGCACGACAGAACCTCTCATCAACTGACAACGTTCGCAAACCCTCAGACCTACGCGAACTTATCTGCGATCTACATCTGCAGACAACATTGGCGAACGTGTACGTTCGAGAAGGTCATCACAATCAGACAACTCTGTCATCATAGAACAAGATGGAAGGTTCGCAAAGGCTACTTACTCTACGAGAACTTAGTCTGCGAACCCTCAACGTTCGAGAACACCTAGGAATCCATCCCCAAGAGCCAGCCGTTCCAGATCTAGATCACACAGCTCTCACACGCGTAGAGAAGGTTCGCGAGAGGGAAGTTGGCGAAAGCAAGGTTCGCGAGAGACAAGTTCGTGAAGGGATAAATCACGAGACAGACATTTGCTAAAGGAAGGTTCGCACAAGGAGGATTTCGCGAAGGCATAGTTCTACGGAACAAGAACTATCTGATGAACATACCGACTATGTCTTCTCAGATACGGAGGTTACAGCTTGGATAGCTAATGGATTGAACTTAGAGTCTCCCTCTAAGGAATTGGACGAAGCTTACACATACAAGATGTGCAAGGACGACTTTTGAGAAAGCAACTAGATTCCAGAATCAACATCTGCCAGCATTAATGCGAGGAAATTCCCCTTACATCACATTGACCCCTTTATGAGAGCACCGGACTTAGATGAGAATATGAAACTGGTCAACAACTCTCGGAACAAGTTTTACATGGTGGAGGATAAAAAGTTGGCCCAACTTGATACCTCGACGAGGAGATCCTTCTTCGGAATAGCGAGATCCAGAGCAATCAATGAGGCATCGATTAACAAATTCCAGAACCCCAGTTCGGAAGAAGATAGAATGATATTATCTGCTCTGCTCACTCAGAAGAAAGACAAATACTTCATATCGGATCATTTGGCCTCAACGTCGGTGGGTCTCACCTTGTTACGGAGACAGGGTCTACTGACATCGTGTTCCTGGAGTGACAGATTTACCCAACCGCTACTTAGAGCTCCTTGGGCGGCGCCTACCATGTTCGGAGGTGAGATAGATGAAGCAGCTAAGGAAGCTACTCACAACTCAAGGGAAGTCATGATGATCAAGTCTATAAATACTCTAGCCAACGTCATTCGTCATACTTCTCAGAAGTACAACAGCCAGTTGAAATATTCCGGGATCCAGAAGTCTAAGGAGAAGAAATACTCCAGCTTCAAAGGCGGGAAAAGCTCTTTTCGTCACCCAACCGGAAACTACAGAGGAAACTCAGGGAGAGGACGTACTCCCAGAGGTTTCAGAGGAGCTAGACGTTGAAATTGGGGTTCAGAACGACTGGATGCTTCCACCCCCAGCCGTTCCTGTACAACCATCGACAGTGGGTGGAAATCTACAAAGGTACTGGGAAAATTGGGGAAAACTGGAGGATGACTACGTCTCACAAGTACTGCGCGAAGGGTACAGAGTGCAGCTCAAGGCCACACCACCATTAACCCTCAGACCGATGGTCTTCAACTAAGCAGACGATCAAGCAGACAAGCTACAAGAAGCCATCAACTAGCTTCTAACCAAGGATGCAGTAGAGAGGATAGATCAACATCATCTCACGCCAGGCTTCTACTCCCCAATTTTCCTACTGCCTAAGAAGAATTCCACAGAGAAATTCAGGTTGATTTACAACATGCGGAAATTCAACCAAGACTTTGTCTTCGTCCAGCAGATTATATGGCCAGCATAGACCTCCAGGATGCATATCTACACATCCTCATACATCCAGAATCAAGGAAATATCTACGATTCCTATTCAGAGGTCAGCATTTCCAATGGAACGTTCTACCGTTTGGAATATCCTCGGCTCCATGGTTATTCACACGAATAACCAAGCCCATAGTCGCCTGCCTACATCCCCAAGGTCTTCGCAATGCCTTTTATCTGGACGACGGGATACAGGTTCATCAAAATGCCAATCAACTCAGACAGCAGCTGAACTTCACAATCAAGTTGCTCATGCAACTAGGATGGTTAGTGAACCTGACGAAGTCGGAGTTGGAACCAAAACAAGATCTGAAATTCTTGGGGATAAGATTTATCACAACACAGAATCGAATTGTGACCCCAGAAGATCGTTGGGTCAAGATACAAGCCATGATTCCTGATCAAAACCTGTCTGAAGAAAAGAGGATACTCTGCCAGAGCAGCGAAAGCAGTAACCTTAGCGTTACGCAGATCTACTAGCAATTTGTATGACGACAAATGGCAGAAATTTGAACAATATGCAGGGCGGAGGGGCTTCACAGCTATGAAAGCTTCTCATCCTTGTGTCAATTGCGACAGACGAGACACTTAAAAGGTTCAACACTCTCAACGTACCTGGCTGCTCTCAGCACAGTTATCACCATGAAGACGGGTGTCAAGTTGACCAAGTACCAGGGATACTGGCACTACTACGCTCGTTCAAGATGGAAGACCAACAAAAGAAATTCAAGGCTCCTGCATGGGATCTCAACGTAGTTCTACAACATCTCACCAGTGACGTCTACGAGCCTCTAGAACGGACATCCTTAGAAGTATTGACACAGAAAACGCTGTTTCTGATTGCCCTAACAACAGCAGCACGGATGTCAGAAATACATGCTCTGGGCTTTGAACGAACACGATTTGAATCAAGACATCGTGACATCGTACATCTAGGACTGGGATGGGACTTTATTGCCAAGAACCAACTGCCCGGCCAGCCTGACAGACAGTTCCACATCCCAGCACTCTCTACAGTCCTTGGGCCACAGGATACACAGGATCTATCCTTATGCCCTGTCAGAGCATTGAAAGTCTACCTACAAAGGACAAAAATAAGGAGACGAAAATTCAAGCGCCTATTCATCCCCTTATCCACTGAGACGCCCACAGAAGTCTCACGGACAACTATATCAGTATGGATGAGAGCCGTCATACTAAGGGCCTACAAAGCAGCAGGACTTGAGCCTCCACGAGCCTCCACGAGCCTCCACGAGCCTCCAATCTCCACGAAGTCAGAGCCTTGGCGTCTACACTTGCTCTGCATGGAAACTGCTTGATTACAACAATAATGGAGGGTTGCTTTTGGAAATGGGACACGGTGTTTGCCAACAATTACCTCAGAGACATTCATTGCCACCGAAGACGTCTCAGGCATTCACCAGTTTGGGCCACATGTTGTAGCACAACTAACAGTTCCACAAAGGCGCTGAGTAAATCTCACCCTTTTATCACGTGACTTGTGAAAACCAACACTCTGGAGAGTAAATGGTTAAGTCCATGCACACGTCTCGGACAGACTAGCATGAGTGATAGACCCTGTACTTGTATAGGACTTACTTGTACATGAAGAAGGGTCGCATCTCCACTTGATGCACTCATCAAGAGATAGAGTTGCAATAGATAACTAATGGAACATTAGTATATCTAAAATCAACACGGAAATGTCGGGCAAAGTTTCGGAAGAAATCTGACAAGTTGTTGTTCCCCCCGACTCATCAGATGGAAGTTGGAAGAATAGAATCATCAGCAGTGACATCATAAGTTCCCATGGGGGGTAATACAGGACGTAAAACAACAGCCAGTGAATCCAGGTAGTGGCCTGACCCACCACCGCCCGTTCTGCAAGCATTTAGCATGAGTCCATTCTGCAACAGAGGTTACTAGCATCTTCCTACGTAACCTCTGTTCTAAAGCATGGTGTGAGTGTTCAAGACTCGTATTGTCAGATTTAGTTGTGCAATCAGCGGCGCTTTTTCAAAAGTGATATTTTATAGGCCACGGTAATTTCCGTGATACTCCGATCTTCTGACTCGCTTCCCTAGACAGAACTCAGTCATCCCATCGCCTCGCTGACAACGGAAAGCTCCCTTCAGGGCACTATTTGTGGCTTTGATTTCCAAGTGTAAATCCACGTGGGTTGGATGGGGGGAGATATTTGTGGCTTCACATCTGCTTAGGGGATTTTAAGAGAACCTGAATATAAACAGGGCTGGTATGACAGAGTAACTCCTGTGGATAGAAAGCATGAGTCAGATAATATATGTAATTTCTTGCCTTTTATACTTAAAGGTCAGCCCTCCCAACCTCCCCTTCAGGGCACTCTGGAAAATCCAGGGTGGGGCGTCTACATACGGAGAATATGACAAACAGGGCTGGTCATGTGACCAAAAAGGCGCCAAAGGAGGCAAGGGAGACTACTCGTGGGTGAGTGATGATTTTACGTCCGTTTTTTAGAAGGGAACTTCAGGGGATTTCAAGTGTTCCACTATTATTCGCGAGAAGAAGGAGACAAGCATTTAGCATGAGTCAGGATAAGTATAAAATATCAATTTTAATCGAAAATTACATTAATTAAAAATAATTGGAAGTATATAATAAAGTGCATATTTCATGTGTCCAGTGAAATATGATATAATAACTCTGTTGAGTGATGTGAAAAACATGATACATGTATTTTCATGAGTGGAGTAGGAAAGTGATGTCACTTGATGACAATTGCATCAGGAGCCCTGATGATGTCATGAGATTTTCAACCAGACTATGTCGTCCTTGTATTTCCAGCCCAAGGTGCGATGTGGCTTCCTCCGTGGCATCAGGGATGACTTGAAGAGACGTCTACCACATTATTTCTCCGACTACAAGGACGGTATGTTCAAACTTAGCAGATCATTTGAACGTCTACATGAGAAGGAAAGTAGCATACTCAGTCTATATACCCAAGACCCAGCCACTGACTGACCAGCTGGAAACAGCCCAAAGCACTGGTTTGCCTGGCCAGCACCTGGGGCGTTTCACAATGTTATCAATGTACTATGATTTCCCAAGCCATCAGATCTGCTCTCACTTGAAGGAGGGCACTGTTCAAACTGTGTTCAGAATACAGCCAAGCACCGTTGTCTCGATATTCATGGCACCAAGAAAAAATATCAAGTTATCCAAACTTGGAGACATCCGACCAGGGCATATCATCACATATCACTATGAAAGAAAAGAAAATGCTTCTCAGTATGTTTTGATTCGAAATAATCCATTATCAGTAGTGTTTAGTCGTAACAGTGAGTACTTCCGAATTAAATCTTTCTTAATTAAAAAAAATCCTAATTAAATAACAAACAAGTGATACCTTCAACTCAATTAGCCCTAATCAGTTTACACTACTGCATCCCTTTGATTCATGCTTCACATGGGCAAGGGATACTTGAATATTGAGTTTCTTTGCAAATATCGAGTTAAAAGGGTAATTTTTCTTGTTGGGACCATGAAATTATATCGAGATATCCGAAATATCGTGACATCCGTATTGAGTTAAAAGAGCTTGAATAATGATAAATTATGAAGGATTTTGCCGGGACCGAGATGTTGTATCGAGACAACCGAGATATCCAGTTATCAGTCTTCGACACAACGGTGCTCGACTGTAGTTTAGAGGTGGACAATATGCTGGGCTCTATCCTGAAAGATTTAATAGTTTATCATTTGAAAACATGACCCCAGTCACTTTTCTAAGCGGGCGGTGGGGTAGCCTAGTGGTTAGGGCGTTCACCCGGGTCTTGCCTAAGAACCAGGTACGATTCCTCAGATGGGTACAATGTGTGAAGCCCATTTCTGGTGTCCCCCTCCGTGATGTTGCTGGGATATTGCTAAAAGCGGCGTAAAACCAAACTCACTCACTTTTCTAAGCAACGCTGAATACGATATTCCACTGAGTGTGTATACTGTTCAGTACACTATTCCATTAGGTCCATGACTGACAGGCTGCCCTGGATGATGGATATCAGACAACACAAACAGAGTGTATGTGGTTCAACTGTTGGATGAAGGCCATCAGTGTCCATGTTGGTGTTACAGGTGTTGCGGACAAGAAGAGCATCCTGAAGACGTTGTCGACCACGCTGTTCCTCTACTTCGCATGCATCCTGCCATGTATCGCCTTCGGTGTGCTCAACTCGGACAACACTCATGAGATCCTGAGTAAGATGCACTCCAACATCACTAGAAGTTTATTTCGAAAAAAATATTCAAATTTCATGAAATTGTAGGTGAATTCATAAGTGCTAATTTGTAACACTACCTAACAACCTATGTGTTTCTTGGAGAAACCATGGGAACAGAGATCTTCAGTTATACTCCATACAGAAGACAGAGACAGGGAAGGGGAATTGTTTCTAAAATGCCTCTGTTCATTGCAGGTTTATTTCATGGTGGAGTCATGTGTTTGTGTGCATAGTTCTCAGTGAAGTGGGAACTCAGTAGGTTCAGGTGGTAGTGGGACTGAAAGCCTTCTGCCGACACTCAGTAACTTATTTTGTTCAATCACATGGGAACTGAAAGTGATGTTGACAAAAGTTAATGAGCGTCATTATGGAGAAAGGTTGGATAGCGTGTTCTGCTAGCTGGACTCCAGCGTGTTCCTTGGAGACCTTCAGTTGTACTCTATACAGAAACAGGGAAGGGTACTGGGTTCTAAATATGCCTCTGTTCACCCGGCAGTGAGATTCAGGTGGTAGCGTGACTGAAAGCCTTTTAGCAACACATACACCATTACTTGGAATGTGTAACCACATAGCAACTGAAAGTGATGTTGACTACAGACCATAGCAAGGTTCTGGTAGCATTGATTTGACACAGTCAGTCTGCGTCAGTGTGTGGATCAGGGCAAGTAAATATGTCCATTATCATTATTGTTATCATGATTATGATGTAAGACTGCGTCGTGTTTCAGCGGTGGAGAAGGTGCTGTACTCCCAGATGTTTGGTGGGATGCTGTTTGCCGTGTTTGGGGGGACTCCCCAGATCGTGCTGCTGACCACTGCTCCGCTGGCCCTCTACACCAAAAGTACGACTCTCTCTCTCTATACAATATCTTCAAGTGGCAGTTAGTGCTGTAATACAAACAAACAGGGTCATTCATTTCAGATTTTCATCTTTCAATAGAAGGTTTATGTACATGGAATCGCCTTTGTCAGTCCAGTCATAATCTCTCAGTCATAATCTCTGTGTGTCACTTCTTCACTGAAGTACTCTGATCAAGGGAGATAATCTGGTTTTGCCTTAAGCTATACACGAATCCCAATTCTTCTAGTTCAGTGCGAACTTTACGAAGGGATAAATTGAGATCAATAGTTGTTTACCAAGGTGAACGTCCATCACTCAAAGCGTGTCTTCTTCTCCAGTCATCTACAGCATCTGTGAAGACTTCTCCCTGCCGTTCCAGGCCATGTTCTGTTGTGTGGGACTGTGGAACGCTTTCTTCCTCGTTGTCTTCTCCGTGTTTGATCTCAGTATCCTCATGCAGTTCTCCACAAGGTAACTTCGTAAACACATAAAAGTAGACATTTCATTCTCTTGACTTTACTCCACACTTCACACTAGAGCTGTCACACCAGAAACTTCACTCTCTTGACTTTACTCCACACTTCACACTAGAGCTGTCACACCAGAAACTTCACTCTCTTGACTTTACTCCACACTTCACACTAGAGCTGTCACACCAGAAACTTCACTCTCTTGACTTTACTCCACACTTCACACTAGAGCTGTCACACCAGAAACTTCACTCTCTTGACTTTACTCCACACTTCACACTAGAGCTGTCACACCAGAAACTTCACTCTCTTGACTTTACTCCACACTTCACACTAGAGCTGTCACACCAGAAACTTCACTCTCTTGACTTTACTCCACACTTCACACTCACACCAGAAACTTCTCTCTCTTGACTTTACTCCACACTTCACACACACTAGAGCTGTCACACCAGAAACTTCACTCTCTTGACTTTTACTCCACACTTCACACTAGAGCTGTCACACCAGAAACTTCACTCTTGACTTTACTCCACACTTCACACTAGAGCTGTCACACCAGAAACTTCACTCTCTTGACTTTACTCCACACTTCACACTAGAGCTGTCACACCAGAAACTTCACTCTCTTGACTTTACTCCACACTTCACACTAGAGCTGTCACACCAGAAACTTCACTCTCTTGACTTTTACTCCACACTTCACACTAGAGCTGTCACACCAGAAACTTCTTTTACTCCCACACTCTTGTCACACCAGAAACTTTACTCCACACTTCACACTAGAGCTGTCACACCAGAAACTTCACTCTCTTGACTTTACTCCACACTTCACACTCAGAGCTGTCACTCCAGAAACTTCACTCTCTTGACTTTACTCCACACTTCACACTAGAGCTGTCACACCAGAAACTTCACTCTCTTTGACTTTACTCCACACTTCACACTAGAGCTGTCACACCAGAAACTTCACTCTCTTTGACTTTACTCCACACTTCACACTAGAGCTGTCACACCAGAAACTTCACTCCTCTTGACTTTACTCCACACTTCACACTAGAGCTGTCACACCAGAAACTTCACTCTCTTGACTTTACTCCACACTTCACACTAGAGCTGTCACACCAGAAACTTCTTCTCTCTTGACTTTTACTCCACACTTCACACTCAGAGCTGTCACACCAGAAACTTCTACTCTCTTGACTTTACTCCACACTTCACACTAGAGCTGTCACACCAGAAACTTCACTCTCTTTGACTTTACTACTCCACACTTCACACTCCACTTCTCTTTGAGAGCTGTCACACCAGAAACTTCACTCTCTTGACTTTACTCCACACTTCACACTAGAGCTGTCACACCAGAAACTTCACTCTCTTGACTTTTACTCCACACTTCACACTAGAGCTGTCACACCAGAAACTTCACTCTCTTGACTTTTACTCCACACTTCACACTAGAGCTGTCACACCAGAAACTTCACTCTCTTTGACTTTACTCCACACTTCACACTCCAGAGCTGTCACACCAGAAACTTCACTCTCTTTGACTTTTACTCCACACTTCACACTAGAGCTGTCACACCAGAAACTTCTACTCTCTTTGACTTTCCACACTTCTCCACACTAGAGCTGTCACACCAGAAACTTCACTCTCTTGACTTTTACTCCACACTTCACACTTTCAGCTGTCACACCAGAAACTTCACTCTCTTGACTTTTACTCCACACTTCACACTAGAGCTGTCACCCAGAAACTTCTCACTCTCTTTGACTTTACTCCACACTTCACACTAGAGCTGTCACCCAGAAACTTCACTCTCTTTGACTTTACTCCACACTTCACACTAGAGCTGTCACACCAGAAACTTCACTCTCTCTTGGCTTTACTCCACACTTCACACACTAGAGCTGTCACACACCAGAAACTTCACTCTCTTGACTTTACTCCACACTTCACACTAGAGTTGTCACACCAGGAACTTCACTCTCTTGGCTTTTACTCCACACTTCACACTAGAGCTGTCACCCAGAAACTTCACTCTCTTTGACTTTACTCCACACTTCACACTCAGAGCTGTCACACCAGAAACTTCACTCTCTTTGACTTTTACTCCACACTTCACACAAGAGCTGTCACACCAGAAACTTCACTCTCTTGACTTTTACTCCACACTTCACACTAGAGCTGTCACACCAGAAACTTCACTCTCTTTGACTTTTACTCCACACTTCACACTAGAGCTGTCACACCAGAAACTTCTACTCTCTTGACTTTAATACTCCACACTTCACACTAGAGCTGCTCACACCAGAAACTTCACTCTTGACTTTACTCCACACTTCACACTAGAGCTGTCACACCAGAAACTTCCACTCTCTTGACTTTACTCCACACTTCACACTAGAGCTGTCACACACCAGAAACGCCACTCTCTTTGGCTTTACTCCACACTTCACACTAGAGCTGCTCACTCCAGAAACTTCACTCTCTTTGACTTTACTCCACACTTCACACTAGAGCTGTCACACCAGAAACTTCTCACTCTCTTTGACTTTACTCCACACTTCACACTAGAGCTGTCACACCAGAAACTTCACTCTCTTTGGCTTTTACTCCACACTTCACACTAGAGCTGTCACCCAGAAACTTCACTCTCTTTGACTTTACTCCACAATTCACACCTAGAGCTGCTCACACCAGAAACTTCACTCTCTTTGGCTTTACTCCACACTTCACACTAGAGCTGTCACACCAGAAACTTCACTCTCTTGACTTTACTCCACACTTCACACTAGAGCTGTCACACCAGAAACTTCACTCTCTTGACTTTACTCCACACTTCACACTAGAGCTGTCACACCAGAAACTTCACTCTCTTGACTTTACTCCACACTTCACACTAGAGCTGTCACTCCAGAAACTTCACTCTCTTGACTTTACTCCACACTTCACACTAGAGCTGCCACACCAGAAACTTCACTCTCTTGACTTTCACTACAAAAATAAGTTGGGTCCGGAACACTAAAACTGAGAAGAAACGACATGGAAACCACCATTTCCAGTTGGTTTCCATGTAGTTTCCTATAGTTTCATTGTGGTTTCCATGAAAACTGAAACTGAACTTTGCACCATTTCCGGCTGGTTTCCAGTGCGTTTCATTACCCACTCCTCCAAGCCAGATCCAGCTGGTTTCCGTGTTTTCGTTTATTGTAGGTTTCAACCTGGTTTCCATGTTTTAGTTTATTGTAGGTTTCAACCTGGTTTCCATGTTTTAGTTTGTTGTAGGTTTCAACCTGGTTTCCATGTTTTAGTTTGTTGTAGGTTTCAACCTGGTTTACATGTTTTAGTTAGTTGTAGGTTTCAACCTAGTTTCCAAGTTATAACCTAGTTTCCATTAAAACTGAAACTACAGTTTGCACCAGTATCTGGATAGTATCCATGTCGGGACTTTGCCCACTCGTTCATGGAGGCTCCTGCTGGTGCTTAGTTTATTGTTGTTTCCAACCTAGCTCCCAGCTTATAACCTGGTTTCCATGAAACTAAATCTGTTGTGCTGGCCCATTACCCGCTCCTCCAGAAAAGAGGTTGTGTTTCATGCAACACACATACCAAATGAGGTATTTTATACAATTGCACAATGGTAAAACCGCCAGGATGACAAATAACAGAATAAAACACAAAGTCATGATAGCTTTATTTATATTCAACAATTTGCTGATAAACAACTGATATTTGGAATGTTCACATTAATAAAAACTGAATTTTCAAAATGCATAAATAATAAAAAGCAATAAGGGAATAAATAGCAATATGTATGGGATGTTTTCTTAAACTCATCAATGTAGATGAATCCATATTATTTGGTTTTCTAATTTGAGAAATGTTAACTGTTTCCCCAAGAGAGGAATAACTTTCTGTTTCTTCTCCGGCCAGTCAATCGTTGTCAGGACCTTCCTCCTGCTTTCCAGCTTCTGAAAGTTAGAAAACAATAAACAATCAGTACAAACAAGCATTCGTCAACAAAACTGTCCAATGTTCCTTAAGCTTGAGGAAAAATAAACTGTAACAGCTGTCCAATATAAGCAGGAAGTTCAATAAATCAAAACTGATCATTTGACCTGAAAAGTGACAAAAGTTTTAATCGCAGAAGAACTTAATGAGTAGAGAGACAAGCGAGAGAAGGACGTATTTCCTTAGCTTGAGTTGGGCATTTGATGACAAAAAAAGATTTTCTTTCACTAAATAACAGTTGTGACATAGAAAACATTGACATTGAATTAATAACATTTCTTAGGAATGCACACTAAGTTCATGCTATCATTGCCTATATTTCCGAGAAATTCTCATGTGAAAGCTACAACTTATTTTCTGAATGTTACATGCATTATGCTTTGATATTATATGTATAGAACTACGAATTATCCATTATTCTGAAAATAATGTGAAAAGAAATATTTGGGTTTTAAAAAAAATAATGTAATCATTCTGGCAGACAAGAAATAGAATGGGGTCATAGGCGGACCTCCATAACTAATATCTCATACTGCTATTGACAATGTGTTTGCAGCTACTATTTAGTGGGGTATTGTTAATAAATTGTTGATTGATGTGTGCAAGGTGAAATATGTCCAGACCAAAACATGATGTACATTGGCTTTACTATGTACTATTTAACTCTTTTTAGCTGCATATTTCTAATTATACATTGCACGTATTAAACAGTGTTTATTTTGAAAGTTCTTTGGAATATCAGTGTACATTTTCAAGAAATTTCAATAACTTGATTTTTTTGCAAATAAGGTTTTCCTTAAATTTTAACCTGTGTAAGATTAGAATTGAGAACGGTTAGAATTTACTTACACATCTGAATCTTTTGTTGTTCTTTGCGGACAAAGGCCTCTGCTTTCCCACTTCTTTGTCTTCTAGGTGGACGAACCCTCTTGTTCGTCCAAAACCGCCAAACTGCTTCTGAAAGGAGATGTGTATAAGTGGAAAAT